GCCTCTTCAAAAGTGATGTCAGTTACAGAGGGTCCCCAATACTAAGTGATCCCTGTAGCTGCCACACAGGTGTGGAACGCATTCCTGACCTCCAGTCCTCTGAGATGAGCATCCCCTTGAACTTGTTTAGCAGAAACATTGACCTGAAATTGAGTAGGCCAGCAAGATGGAAGTTGAATCGTGATGTATTTATTAAACCGAGCACTGGGTTTGACACTCAGAGGAACACCAGTTTAATTCGAGACACATTTCTTGCCCTTAAGGGGCTTACAGCACTGATTTGGCTTATGGACCACCCAACAACCATGAGGATGGAGAAACCAAATCTCCACCTTGGGCTCATTGTGCTGCACGATGTGACAGGCCAGGGATTAAATGGGCCTTGAAGCACGTGGAATGAATGCACGGCCTGCAGCTCCTCAGCTTGTGTGCGTGAACTCCACGAGCAGCCTGGCTGCAGAGTGAAGGTGGCTGTTTGTTCATAAACGTTGTCATTTCACTGAGACTGCTATTTCATCTTTGAACCTTGGCTTCAAAGGAACACTGACCTTATTCTTGTAGCTTGCCTTTCTTTGAAGCCTATGGCTTTGCATTGCAGATTAAAGTGAAGATATTCATCAAGGGACAGATCTGGCCAACTGCTCCCCAAACTCAACCCAAAACAAAGCCTTGAAAGACTCCAATCACAGTTGCAGTGGAGTGGGCCAAAGATGAAGGCTTGGAGCCGTGCTCTCTTTCTCAGACCCTGTAAGGCAGCTCTGGAATGACATAGTGCATCCCTTTGAGCTCCGGGCAACTTTACCCCAAGAGTCCGTATATCTCAGCAGAGAGGGGTGAGTTAATGCAATATTCTCAACCTGTCTTATTCATTTTATTTAAAGCAGGCATTGTCATAAATGAGGCCAACATGAACATTCACTGGTGCTTTTGAATTCTTCAAAAAATGTTAGACAGAACCATCTGAAACTTAGTGGATGATTCTGTCAGTTTTCTTTTCTACTACTTTCCTATGTTCACCCGTTTGAAAAGAAATTGTCCTATTTTTTCCCCCTGGGTTCTCCCATCTTGGCTCTAAAAAAACAAACTTCACACATTGCCTTCTCTGTTCTTTATTTTTTTCTTTTCCCTATTAAGGTGGTAAGAGGAGTAAAGTGAGAAACTTCAACTGGGAGGTAAAAAAATAATCAGCAAATAATTCTTTAATTATAAGGCCTTATAGAGAGAACCAAGGGAGATACCTCCCACCTCAAAGGAAGAAAAATTGATGATAGATGACTATTCAAAGAATAAATGATCATATCTTTCAATGTGACTTTTCTGCAGATCTTCAGCTGTGATCAGATAAGTGGAGTGAGTTCTGTCTGTGATGAAGCAGGAAATCAATCCAGAGGAGGGAAGGGAATGATTGTCAGGTTGGCTACATGTAAATCAACTGCTTCTGATAGCATATACACTAAAGGGCTTAAGAAATTAGTGATCTTTATTGAGACATAGGCTAATTTTCAGGTAACTTTCATAGTTATTCATCTTTAAAAATAAGACCAAAGGATAATTCTGGTCATTGTAGGACAATTCATATAACTTGCATTTTAGCTTAAATCTCAAATAATTGTTTTCCATTAAGAAATGCACGAGGCCTGGGTGATAGACATTGGGGAGGGTATGTGCTATGGTGAGCACTGTGAATTGTACAAGACTGAGGAATCACGGATCTGTACTTCTGAAACAAATAATGCAATATATGTTAAGAAAAAAAAAGAAGAGGAAGAAGAAGATAG